TACGCATCGTGTGAACACCCTACAGATTAGGTATACACACACACACACACAGACGCGGCGGCGTGTTGTTGTATCAGCACGCCGCCGCACGCGTCCACGCTTGGAACACTTGGAACGTGTACACACTTTATTTATTTATACGGAAATTTGGTCAAAAATTAAGTACCTATTTTTTTTACATAATTCGAATCAGAATCATGTACCGAGTATGCTCCTGAAATATTGATAGTAATTCACCAGTCACCCTGTATATTATAATTATTATGTATATGTATATAACCTTCTCCATGTGAGAAGAGGCTTTTCATCAGCAGTGGGCTCTGATAGGCTGATGATGATGATGATGTATTTACTAAAGAAAAATAGGAATACTAATATGATTATTAGAAAAATAGGAATGACGAATATTATAATTATTTTTATTATTTAATAATATAGAAATAGAGTTAGATCAATTGTTGACTGCTTGTATTGTCCAATAGTTCCTTGAATCAAGACGAACAAACAATTATACGAATATATAATTTATATATTAAGTATTTTTATTTATTATCCTACTTTATTATACTGAAAGATATTTCATAAAATTCAGGAATAAAACAGTTTTATTCTACAACAATGAATTTATTACTCGAAGTCTTTAATATTTGTTGAAGTTACATACCTAGAAGAAATAGTATTGTTATATTTTATATAGTTCTGTTCCTACAAGGACAGTTACAATCAGTTCTGATCCTCTCACAGTACATATGTATTGTATTTATTAAGAATAAAAGCAATTAACGTCACGTCTTAAAACAAATCAAATAAAAGCGCTGACGGATTCTTAGACATATCTAAAACTATCTGCTGCCCCCCGGCTCGCCCCACGGACCCCCAAAGACCCCCAAGGACCCCCACGGACCCCCACGGAACCCCCTCCAACCCCCACGAACCACCCCACGCTTTCACGGTTCTAATTTTTGGGGAATTTGGGGCATATTCGTAAATATGAAATGGAAAAAATATTTCGCGTTTCTTATAAAATTCAATCTTATTTTATATATTATTAAGGTTGATATTCGAATGTAGGGTGAGACGAAAAAAAATTACTTCATATGTCGTCCTTAAGACGGAGCGCCGCGGTACGTATGTGTGTTCAGAACGAGAGAACCGTGGAGCGGACTTTATACTAAAAATATTTGTAGTCATCGTAATTAAGAAAGCATATAACAATATAACTCCACTATGATATAATTATAATAAATTTTATATTAACATGTTATAGACGGATTATATGTGAAATAAATTTATTATAAGTGGAGAAAATAAATTAGTACGAAAAAAATTTGTATGCGTATTCGTCTCCATTCATTCTCTGTCCGTCGCCGCTCGCCATATACGTGTCTAGATGTATGTTAATATTTCCTATATGTTATGTTAGTTTCATCATTTATACTTTATTACTATATAACAGAACAATGTGTGCGTGAGCCGCGTCTGTGTGCGTGAGCTTCAATTAAAGATTTTCTTAATAAGGGCGGGGATGTATTATATTTTTCTTAATATTACTGTTACATAGAGGCCGGGTGGAAATCGTTTTGTTTTGTTCCGAGGACCTCCTACGGAATTAAAATATTACTTTATTATATTCTGTGATGTCTTTAATTGATTTCAACTGATTTAGTTTTGAAATAAAATAAATGATTTATGTTTTGTGTCTGTAAATATATTCAATTAGTTTTAGATGTTTTTTAATATTATTGGTGTAGGAAACGACCGAGAGAAATGAAGTAGAATTTTTATAGCTCTGTTATGTACAAATATCAACAGGAAAATGAAAAGAATTTTACGTTTGTGAAATTTAATATAGAGTTTCATTCCGACAAATAAAGTTCATCTGTTTTGATATACACATTGTATGTGAAATATACTTAGACTTATATCTCAGTAAAAATAACCATTACATAAACTTAATAAAATATAATTTAAGGTTTAGCAAATACGTTCCCATCAATCATCACCGTACCAGAGAAACCCCACATACATCAACCCTTAATGCGTGTACAAAAATACCAATGACCGCCATCTAACGTCGAAATGCAGAAGCTTTTATATATACCCCATCTGTTGGATAATACGTGTATCATTAAGAGTCTAAACTGACTACGTAGTTTATCTTTGCTATTCCAGACAATAGATGGCGTTGAATACAATTAACTATTTAATGCTAACCGTTGCTCATGTATTAATTTAAAAAGTGTAATTCTAACATTACTACTAGAAATTGTTTCATAAATAATGTCATAATTCGCCAATGGATGCTATAAAACTGATTTTTTTGAAAACCATGCTTATTTAACAGGTCTTTTGACAAGATTTATATTCAGTGACTGTGTCACATTAAAATTAATACCAATGTAATAAAAAAGGAAATATGAAAGAATGCAGATACTTGAAATTAAAAAAAGTGCAGTGCAACTTTACCGACTTAAAGAAACAAATTGGAGGATGGTTGATTTGAACAAAAAAATATTGGCTCATATCCAGTGACATTTCGACTTTAAATAAGAAATATTTTATTTATTTAAATGAAACTAATATTTTGGGATATACTACGCGTGCTTTATTTTTGTAAAAAAATTAATACTTCCTACTTTTTAGTTAAGTTTCAGCAACCGTACCCGAAAAATATGAGTTTCATTTCAATGAATAAAACTCGCGAAAGTCTTAGATCTCATTATTTTATTCATTCCAACACAAAACTGATATTTATGAAATGAAGAAGTTGTAATATACGAACATATTTGATAATAAAATGTATTTATCAATGAAACCAATTAAGGGAAAAATACACTCACAATATTGGATTCGCTAAAATCTGGAAATATATTCTGCAAACGTGTTAGTAACGCTTAATAATTGATAAAAAGTGAGTCAGATCTTAAATGATAAAACAATGACTCTTGGAATTCTAAAGAAAACTATCAAATTTACTATTAGATAAGCAGAGGTAACCATGGTAGATACTTGTAATAACAAATTATTATTACCGTAATAAATGTTCACAAAATTTATTTATTTCTTCGCTTTTCACATTATTATTAGACCGTAATTTTTTGTTACAATGCACTTGCATAGAATCCTTTTTAAATACATAACTTTCCTTTTTATTACTCCCAAGACAAAATAGATATACGTTGCACTAAATATTAAATCAAAATAAAAATATTCGCATTTATACTTTCTCACCCTTGAGAAAGTATAAATGCGAATATAATAATACGTAAAACCAGATCTTTTTAATAATACGTGTCTTTTATCTCACCGTCCCCTAACTTCTTAAATGTTTAAAAGCTTTAACAATTATTTTCTGATCTACAAAAAAAAACAACCGTTCTTGACTGAATAAAAATAATTGGTTGACATTTTATTTGAAGAGCCATCTACTGCGAAGTAGTAGATGTGAAGTGGTATTTTGGTTGTGTACATATATTATATTAATACCACTTACGAATATATATTTTGTTAATATATATAATAATGTTTTACAATTTTTAGTTTTTACAATTTCGGCAATCAATTGACAACTCTCGTTTTCGTATTCTAATTCTATATAAAATTGTTTTCTTCCTTATAATAATAATTATATGACATTTTAAATTTAGCTGCCAGTATACTGGCCAGTACAATTGTTTATCAAAAAGGTTATTTAAATCTATATATATAAAAGAAAGTCGTGTTAGTGACTGCACTTATAACTCAAGAATGGCTGAACCGATTTAGCTGAAAATTGGCAGGGAGGTAGTTTAGAGCCAGGAAATTGCAATAGGATACTTTTTATCCCGTTCGACAGCATTCCCGTGGGACTTGACATGAAACTTCAGTCACTATAAAACGTGGAATAACGAAACACAATTGACAGCTATGCAATTGACGTATAATGACAGATATGTAATGACGTATTGATGACAATTAGATATTTGTAAGAGATCTTCTATATAAAAATAAGTCCGGTCCGGAACGAACTAATTTCCACGGTTTTGCATTCGTTGGAAAGGTCCCGGGTTCCGTGAGGTATATAACAAAAAATTTCAACAGAAAAGCGGGAAAAACTTTTTTCACATACAGCGCCATCATACATAAGTCATAACATGTACTACAAATCAATATTTTAATTAAATGGTGCCGGTGCATGATACATTGGTTGACAGCTACTCATTGTTTTCTTCTCAGTTAATTTCATGTGACAAACCGGTATTGTGTTTGTAATTTGAACTCTTAAAACCATTTAGGTAGTATTTGCGGGATAAATTTAGAAAATCATTGTTTCTCACATGGGCGTTATATTTTGCGTGTTCACGAGTTTGGAAACCATCCGCTTTATTTGTGTTAAAGTTGGGCCAAAAAACAAAAAATGTGGTTTCCAAAGGACCACTTCAATGAAACTGATAATTTGCGGACACGTATAACGCTTCCATTCGGTATCTACTTTGGATTCACTTTCATTTACTTAGAGAAGTTCAACTAAATAACACTTCATTTTTGTAATCGAAATGAATTCATTACAGTTGTGAAATGAAATAAAAATTTTCCTTTTCAAATATAAAACAAAAAAAAAACTTCATCTTTTAATCACCAAACAAAATGTAATACAAAAGCCTTCTGGTGGCGAAACGGAGTTCGCCAGGTTTACTAGTTTTATATAAAATTGGTTGCTACAGATGTTTTAGTTGAATGAAAAAATCCTTGATTTAACTTTTCACGTCGCAGCTCGCTGAGGGTTTTACAATTGAACTTATATAGGAATCCCAAAACTAATACTTAATACTTTGAGTAAGGAAAATGTATGGAAAAAAAAATTATGAATGATTATTAAAAAAAAATGGAATAGTGTAGAAAACCTTTGAGAAACGAAATAAAACTACAATTACATATTTAACCTTATATTACTTTTATTAGAAAAAATCAGTCTTACTTCGTATTAATTGTACTTAGAATTAAAGATTAATCATGTAATTTTATCGCCTTCTCTTCTTCTGCGGGGTCTTGGTCTCTTCAGCTGCTTCTCCATTTGGCTGAGGGTCCTCTGAATCAGTCAATTTCCTCCTCACAGGACCAGTTTGTGAAATGGGTATGATCCTCTCACCTTTATCTGAAGGTAATTTAGGAGCGGTGATCGTTAGAACTCCATCTGAAGACAGCTTGGACTCGACAGCTTCAGCGTTACATCCTTCTGGTATCAAATATCTTCGTTTAAACTGTCTGGAGATGTATCCGTGCTCGTCTTTCTTCTCCTCGTGTTGACCTTCAACCACTACATAGTTGTCAGTAATCTTGACAGATATTTCTTCAGGTGCAAAATGCTGCACGTCTAAATTCACTTGGAACTTATCTTTGTCCGTTTTAATAGTGCTTCCGACGTCCCGTGCTAGATTAGAAAGGTTTCTCCACGGACGCATATAGTTCCTTAAGGGTCTGTCCAGGATATCCGAGAGAAAATCATCGTGGGCTAGATCCAGTCCAAATAGCTGATCACGAATTCGACGAGGTCTCATTTCATAATCCAGTAAATATGGTAGTAGAGCCATTTTAAGACGCCGATTTAATAATTAATACTGAAAATCAAGAAATTGCAATCGCAATTAATCGTTTGTTGAAGTCTTGTCAACAATAGCCCTGTATACATACAACTGACGCCGACGCTGAGCGCTAGCGTTATATATTGAGACTTGTGAACATTCGGTAGTTTTCTAGCAAATGGTAGAAAGTTCGTGAAAAATAAAGCGCCATCTAGCGATGAGTAGACACACTAAAAGTATTTTTGATAAAAAATCCATATTTAACTGACCTATTATTATAGAACTGATGAAAAATAAATAGAGATATCGTTTGAAAACTTTAAATTCAATTTAGATGAAATGTAAAATAATGTGCTTTTATGAATTTAAATATCATTGCCTGAACCTGCCATCTACTGATCAAAAGCAGTAAACTGCAGTGGAAGTATTTATATCCCTTGATAGATGGCGTTCTCTCAATTTACTTCAAACAATGAAGAGTATCGAAACAAAAAATAGGTCTCTTACTATTTAAACTAACCTCAAAAAAATCAGAACAACTTAACTGTTTATAAATTTTGTTCGTTTTAATCATATTCTTATGCACATTAATGCACTTTAACTTTGTATGCAGTGTAACATCATCAATTAATTTCAAATGTTATTTGTGGCAAATCATTATCTTACTTAATTTCTCATCAAACATGCTATAAATTATACAGATACTTCTTTACTATTGTTCTTATTAAAGACAAAAATGAATGCATTTATTGCATGAACTACCGAAACGTGGTATTAAGTTTTTTCTATTTTCTGAGTACAATATATTATACTTAAAATAAAACTCCGACTTATATGTATAATGTTGTAATATAAATCAATAGATAAATGTAACAAGCAAAATATATGTATATCTCAATTTTTGTTACATTGTTGGTAATCAACCAAGTTAGGTTAAACTTTACTACAGAAATTAAAATACCTATGTACATATGTATAGGTAAAAAAATTAATATTTATATAAAGGTACATACATTCCGATTTATTAAATGTTAAATGTATGCACAATTTAATATTCAATGAGAAATATTTAGAAAGGTATACTTAACGTATATTTAATAACAACAGTAGTCATGAAATTGATATTAGCAATAAACGCATGAATTTATACATTTCTATTTAATTATCATAGTAATTAATAGCATGTGCGTGCATGTGTTCTTAAATTTAAAGTAATACATGTGCCGGTAAATCATGAGTGCGCATTTTCCAGTTTGGGGCAATAATACCGAATAATAAGCTAATTCTAACATTGATATAATATGAAAAACTTAACACAAGATGCATACCACAAGTCTATGCAATATGGATGCGCTCTTTCATAAAATCAATAAACTTTTCGAACAAGTATCTAGAAACAGAGGTTATACTACCGGTAGTTGTATTTGATATCAGACAGGATACAAGCAGCGCCGTCGGTGGCGAATAGATACAAGTTATGCCGGAAGTTCATAGAACATTCTAGACAAACCACTAATTTGATGAAAAAAGTCTCTTTTCTGAATGAAAAATGTCTCTTTCTTTGAGAAAAGGATTGTTAAATTAAGTTCATTATCTTATGAATACCATTAAATACGAATATATTTTTTAGTTTTTTCATTTGACAAACTTCCGATGGAAGGTTCTCGAATGTTCCAGAACATTCTATGAAATATTGTTTTATTATCTGACTCTGCCATCTAGTGGTGAGTAGGAAAACAAATTGTGGAGTTAGGTATCACAAACATTGTGGTCTAAATATATTTCACACTTTCATTTCATTTCATTTTTTATTTTTTTGCAGCTAGTAGTTAATGGTTGTAAAGCATAATAATAGATATATTTTCTTGATCATTTTGCCGAATTAGTTGTAGAATTAATTCTAAATGAATTAAATAAAAAAAAATTAAATAAACTTATTAAATAAATATTATTATCAACATTATAATGTAGATGTCTATAATTTGATGCAATTGTTAACGAACTATATTTAGGGCTTAATTTTAAGTAATTATAGCGTTGAAGAAAAGAAAATTTCAGTTCGGCTTGGTGAACCAGATTAATATTTCGCCGTTATATTCTAACTATCTATTAGTAAACTAAAAAACTATTTAATAATTATAATATTATTTACGAATCTGATCTAAATGGTCTTTATGAATTTATATTTTAAATACATAGTATAAAATTTTGCGGATTTAAACGTAACAATGAAACAAATGCAGAAACAGTTTTAAACCCCTGGAAAATGCGGCGACGAGTCGAGAAATTTCTATTCACTCACAGATGTCGCACCGCAAAGAATGCTATATAAGCGACTAGATGCTATAACCGGCGTCATTTGTGAATCACAAGCTGCGAAGAGAGACGTAATACAAGTATTGTTCGTTGTGATTTTTCTACCACGTGCTAAGTGAAACCGCGTTGTTATAGAAGCATCAAGACTCAAGAGATTATTCATCGTATATCAATTGAAGTTAATTAAATTGCACAATGCCTGAAGAAATGGAGACAGCGCCCGCAGAGGTGGAGACCTTCGCCTTCCAGGCGGAGATCGCCCAGCTCATGTCATTGATCATCAACACCTTCTACTCCAACAAAGAAATTTTCCTCCGTGAGTTGATCTCAAATTCCTCCGACGCCTTAGACAAGATCCGCTATGAATCACTTACGGACCCCTCAAAGCTTGACAGTGGTAAGGAATTGTACATTAAAATCATTCCTAACAAGAGCGAGGGAACCCTTACAATTATTGATACCGGTATTGGTATGACAAAGGCTGACCTCGTGAACAACTTGGGTACCATCGCTAAGTCTGGTACTAAGGCGTTCATGGAAGCGTTGCAAGCCGGAGCTGACATCAGCATGATTGGTCAGTTTGGTGTGGGTTTCTACTCCTGCTACTTGGTAGCCGACAGGGTCACAGTACATTCCAAGCACAATGATGACGAGCAATATGTGTGGGAGTCGGCAGCGGGTGGATCCTTCACAGTCCGCCCTGACCAAGGCGAGCCCCTCGGACGCGGAACTAAGATCGTGCTCCATGTTAAAGAGGACTTAGCCGAATACATGGAAGAACACAAGATCAAAGAAATCGTCAAGAAACACTCGCAATTCATCGGCTACCCCATCAAGTTGGTAGTAGAGAAGGAACGTGAAAAGGAACTGTCTGATGACGAGGCTGAGGAAGAGAAGAAAGAGGATGAGAAGGAAGACGAGAAGCCTAAGATTGAGGATGTAGGAGAAGACGACGAGGAGGACAGCAAGGACAAGAAGAAAAAGAAGAAGACTATCAAGGAGAAGTACACGGAGGACGAGGAACTTAACAAGACCAAGCCCATCTGGACCAGAAACGCTGATGACATCACCCAGGAGGAGTACGGAGACTTCTACAAGTCACTGACCAACGACTGGGAAGACCATCTGGCAGTCAAGCACTTCAGCGTTGAAGGTCAACTGGAGTTCCGCGCTCTACTGTTCGTACCCCGCCGCGCTCCCTTCGACCTCTTTGAGAACAAGAAGCGCAAGAACAACATCAAGCTGTACGTCCGCAGGGTCTTCATCATGGACAACTGTGAGGACCTCATCCCCGAGTACCTTAACTTCATCAAGGGTGTGGTCGACAGCGAGGACCTGCCCCTGAACATCTCTCGTGAGATGCTCCAACAGAACAAGATTCTTAAAGTCATTAGGAAGAACTTGGTAAAGAAATGTCTTGAACTGTTTGAGGAGTTGGCTGAAGACAAGGAGAACTACAAGAAATACTACGAACAGTTCAGCAAGAACTTGAAACTCGGTATCCACGAGGACTCTCAGAACCGCTCCAAACTAGCAGACCTGCTGCGTTATCACACCTCCGCCTCTGGTGATGAGGCGTGCTCTCTGAAGGAGTACGTGTCCCGTATGAAGGAGAACCAGAAACACATCTACTACATCACTGGTGAGAACAGAGACCAGGTAGCTAACTCATCCTTCGTCGAGAGGGTCAAGAAACGTGGTTATGAAGTAGTGTACATGACCGAGCCGATCGACGAGTATGTAGTACAACAGATGAGGGAATACGACGGCAAGACCCTCGTGTCCGTCACGAAGGAAGGCTTGGAGCTTCCCGAGGACGAGGAAGAGAAGAAGAAACGCGAGGAGGACAAAGTCAAGTTTGAGAATCTCTGCAAGGTGATGAAGAACATCCTGGACAGCAAAGTAGAGAAGGTGGTGGTGTCCAACAGGCTAGTCGAGTCTCCCTGCTGCATCGTCACGGCGCAGTACGGCTGGTCGGCTAACATGGAGAGGATCATGAAGGCGCAGGCTCTCCGCGACACATCCACCATGGGATACATGGCGGCCAAGAAACACCTCGAGATCAACCCCGACCACTCCATCGTGGAGACTCTGAGGCAGAAGGCCGAGGCTGACAAGAACGACAAGGCCGTTAAGGACTTGGTCATCTTGTTGTACGAGACTGCCTTGCTGTCGTCCGGGTTCGCCCTCGACGAGCCTCAAGTGCACGCGTCCAGGATCTACCGCATGATCAAGCTGGGTCTCGGCATCGACGAGGAGGAACCCATCCAGGTTGAAGAAGGCAGCGCCGGAGACGTGCCGCCGCTAGAGGGCGACGCTGACGACGCGTCACGTATGGAGGAGGTCGACTAAGTGTAACCATGTTTTAATGGTCGTTTGTTTCGTGCACTGGTGTACAGCCAAAGACTGATTTTAGTTCAAATTCCATGAATGTTACTACATGTAATGTATTTAAACTGTGATTTTAATTTGTTTGATGCCTTAGATGTTAAGTACTTAACTGTATCAAGTTGTAGGCTTAGCATTTGATCAATCAGCTCTAATAAAAACTACAACTCTCAATGTATTTGGTCGTTTTATTTAACATGCTTTTATTATACAGAAATTTAAATAAAACTAATTTGAACTTGAACTTAACTGAATTTGAAATAAATTTAATTTGAAATAAATTTAATTTGAACTTGAAATAAAACTAATTTAATCACTAACTTCATCTAAGTTATCTAGTTACATAGTCAGAATTAAACAGATATGCTTCTTTCATTTTGTTTTTACATTGAGTTTTATTTTAAAATTAAAATAAAAAACTCCACATTTCTCTTTTCATTTCCTTTATCAATAGAGTTTCTGGTAGAGATATCTTAAGAGATAAGATATCCCCTTTACATTACATTTCTTTTATAATAGGTAGGTACTTTAATAATTATTAATTATAATTTTTGGGTACATAAATAGATTTAACTAAGTTTGTTAATAAATACCATCCTCAAATATTTTCGTAATTGTTGAACATAAAATTGAATTATTATTTTTTTTAAAGAACACTGGTTCAAACTGCAACGTAACTGAATTTAATTTTAGCAGCATATCTGAAACATGGCTACACTTTACAACTAATCTAATAGTGGTCAATAAAGTTATCGTCTTGAAGCATGCTTATCTCCTTATAGTAAGTTCACCTTTTTCTTTCCGATATAGTCCAGTCATTATAGTAAGTTCACCTCTGAATTCGAGATACCCAGCTGTAAGTCTGTAAATAGTTGTATATTGACACCCTAAAAGTTGTCTTAAAACCTACATATGGTAGGGTGCAAGCAACTATTAAATTTCAAAGGTCACAAAAATCGTAGTTTTTGTACCCTTTATTCCATTTTTTTACTTTCAATAGAAAATAATTTATTCAATGATATTTTTTACTAAAAAGATTAATTCATAATTTATTTGTTTTTTTTTTTTCATCATGTAAGAAGTTATTAATATTAATTAGGTTAAAATTCAAATATAATTCTTATATTTTCATTAACAATTCTGCAATTACATGGACAGGTAAGTGTTGTTAAATAAATTAATACTGAATAAAAAGTGGATAAGTTAGGAAAAAAATGATAAAATATAATATAATAGTTAATAAAAATTGACAAATATTTATAATCATTGATTTATTGATAGTTCATCAACTATATATGGCGCGTTTTCGACCGGAGGCACCGGTTGACCTGAAGTGATGCGGTGACCGCGCGCTCTCCGCCCTCTATCTCGAAAACGGTACACCGTATAAAAAATTTTTGAAACAAAATTTGTAGAGAATTTAGTATTCTACAATATTGATAATAAATACAAATAGCAAAAAACCCATAGGAAATGAGATATTTCCAAAAAAAGCGCAAAAGACCGATTTTTGTGACCTTTGACCTTGAAATTTAATAGTTGCTTACACCCTACCATATGTAGGTTTTGAGACAACTTTTAGAGTGTCAATATACAACTATTTACAATCTTACAGCTGGGTATCTCGAATTCCGAGATTCTTACCTAATTTACGCTTAAATGACTGGACTAATATAGATTACAAGAGATTTGATCTCTAGCCCTCTGACAGCAAGTGTGAATCTATAAGTATAACAATCTATTTACCTATATAATATGTAGATAAGAAGTGTTTGTAAAAAGTATCAAATCACAAACCGGTAGCGATGTGGACAATATTTAACTAATATGGGTAATTATTATCCTTAAACTTTTACAAAAATACACCTAATTACACATATAAACGTATTAAAAGCTTAATAAAAACGGTTACGGTCGTTAGCTCCGAGCTTGCCTAATTATTTTTGTGTACTATCTGACAACCACAACTTCGCGTAAAGTATAGTACCTAGTTATCAACAAAACACCGAAAATGTAGTGTCTATAAAAATGGTTGTTTGTAAAAACTTAAGGTTCTATGTACCTATTTAATTAATAAATTATTTATTTTTTAAACAAGGAACAGGGGTTTAATAAATGAAGTATAGTACCAACATAAGTTTAACTGTAGTCGATCCAGACGTTTTATTGTATATACTTATAACATATAAGCCAGATATTATTATGTCTAATAAAACAATAAGTAAAAAAATTAAAACCCTTTTTTAATTTCGACTTATGCCTTTAACAGGGGTACCGGGAGTCACAACTATACCCAGCTAGTAAATATCTATGTAATTTCTTTTAAGCGCTATCTATCGAACAAACTCGCAAAGTGGATAAATAATCTATAAATTGTTAGTAGGTGGCACCACTATGAGTTTTATAAATATAGATTTTATTTTATAGAAGTTGTATATAAAAATACATATATAATATACTGAAAGCGTTTACTCAGATGCAAGTATTATATATTCTTTATCTTAACAAAGGGTTTCTTGTGACGGCCCTACTAATAATCTAGTTCGTTTTAGAGAAAGGAATGTTTTTCTAGTAAATTCTATGTGCTATTTTAGTGTTCTAGCTAATGCGCCTGTCTGACCTACTTTTATCTCTTACAGCTGATCAATACATAGTAAACGCAAGTTACACCTGAAAACCTAGCCTAGAATCTAGATTATAAAAATTGAAAGACCCTGGATGAGTCTATAAGATGTTTTCTGGCTAGAATTTCATTTCAAAATTCAAATTATAATAGACCGGGCGCTAGAGGTAAGTGAGTATGCAAAATGTGAGTACCAAATTTCGCCAACGGATTTAAGTGAGGAAAAGGTCAAAGAATAATAATGTGGATCTTGCCGGTCAATTTTTTGGTCCATTTTTTTTTTACCCCCTCTTCTCTTGTTAATAAAGGGAATGTATTTAGTACATGATATAAAATCGCTTTATTGATTATTTTCGTAATAATTTATGGTATTTTCTCGTGCTATAAGTGAAGATGTATTCTTAAATAATAAAAAAAAAAACAAAAATTACAGTAATAAATTTTTTTTATTGATAAAAAAATTAAAGTTATATATGAAAACCAGCTAATTAAAGCATAAATGTAGTTAAAGTAGGTAAAAAATTTATCATTTTTATTTTCACATTTGTTATTGGTGCATTTACATAATGAAATACAAAACAATTCCGATTTTTTGCAATTACAAGACATTGTGCGAAAATTTAAAGTACATTTACATGGTAGAATTAATAACTTTGGTAAAGACGGCTTCGTCATTTGTCGTGGACGTAAGTCACCGTTGAGCTTTTCGTAACCAAATGAACAATAATCAATGGGTGGTAATTGTGTTTGATGAGCATTTTTCCATATAAATGTTTGTACTGTAGCCCTTAATAAATGGAAATACAAAGCATCTGAAGTGCATATCACTCTCATCAAATTGAAATTGAAACCTATATTCTGAGATATCAGTATAAATCTGAGTTCTCACTAATGCTGTCCTTTCTCCTATTTGCTGCTTCTTTGATATGAAGCAACGTACTTGGCCTGGGGGTGCTTCACTAAATCACTTGAATTATCGCAGGATAAGCAAAATTGTTCTTTTCTTTTCAAATTAACCACTTCTAACGACATTTTTTATGTTTTTCAATACAGTACACTTTGGAAAGACACTAAGAATTTACGAAAATACTATTATTTTATATGATATATAAATAAAAAACTTAAAAATGTAACTTCTGTACGTCAATAGATGTAGAAACACACTAAACAAGTGAGCGCGCTATGCTTACTGTATGGGCGGAGAGGGGATGTGAAGGGAGCAAGAAGGGACCATAACACCTGGCGGCAAGATGTGTTTTGTCATTATTTAGGGTCTCAGCTATAAGAATCCGGTCACAGTTGCCGTCACTCGGATTTTGCATACTCAACTACCTCTAGCGCCTGGACTATAATGCAACATATATATAATGAGAAATCTTTCTCTTTTAAGCTTCAGAGTGATTTCAAAAATAGAACATCAAATACAGCTGGTTTACGAGTTTAAATACAAGATATTTCTAGAAAACACAATTAGTACATTCGAGGAACGATCAATGAACCTTATATTTTTGTATTTTTGTTTATAATCTCATGGATTACGAATATGGAAATATCTGGAATATATTAAAACAAATAATTTGTATTTTGTATCGGTCCTGTAATGACTTCAATCATACTAATGTCTTTTTTTATGAAATGATAATATTACATATATTTATTATTTATATAGGTAAATAATGGTTCTAAAATTTAATAAAATTTTAAGTGTAGCTTTGTTTTCTTAAGATAAAAGTCAAAGCATTTTAAAATGTTACATACTTATAAATTTAACCACACATAAATAATAATTGATGATTGTTATAACTTTTTACATTAATTAAATTTTATATTTTCTATATCAACATGTGTTTCCAATTTGTTAACATAAATACGCTTACCAAAAGTTTGTATCGTCACTATATACGTTAACAGTATTTCATTCATACTTAGGTTATTGGATGAGAAACGGAAAACGCTTCGTATAATATTATAGTGTGGGGACTGGGGATACATACAAACTTATACTAAGCATATTATGTTATTATTAAGATTGTTTGACTTTGCAAATTAATATACAATTGTATTTATAATCATAATTTAGTCAAATATAGTTTATTTTATTCAAATATGTTCTACTGGAAGGCTGCCATGGTATGCGGTGATGCAAGAGTTAATACCTTAAATTTATTATGACTAAATACATTAACAAATAAATATTTAAGAAGCTATTATTTTCAGTGTTTGAAAATTGTTGAAAACACAGTTAACCCTGAATAAATAATAATACATAATATCCCTAGTAATATTATAAATGCGAAAGTAACTCTGTCTGTCTGTCTGTTACGCTCTCACGTCTAAACCA